TACCAATTTCGTCAGGGATAAATCCGTGGAAATTATTATTGCTAATAATCAAGGATCTCAGAAAAGAGAGTTCACCGATTTCTTTAGCAATAGTACCTCCTAGACCCATATATGCAAGATTCAAGCCCAACTCTTTGATGTCTCGTACCACAACTTATATCAATCCAATTGCAGAACGAGGTTCCTTGCGACCAATTTTTTGCCAAGATTTTATTTGGATCAAGAGTTACTTGAGATCGGAAGGCTAGAAGGGCATATTCATCGGTGGAGCTATTATGAGATGCAACAATGTTGATAAGAAAGTGAAGCATTGTCAGCAACATAAAGATGACATTATTTCCCATGGCTAATTTGAAATGCATAAAGAAAATTGGGAGGGGGACTTGTAATGATGAGTTCCATAAGTGTACTCTTATTTATATATCAGAATTTCGGTATGAACTCTCACTAATTTTCTAATAGCTTTTGGCAGTGTTTTCCATATAGAATTTTCTGTAAGCGCGTTTCTAACAGTGAACACGGGCCCTGATTATGAAGTGGAATTTTGTGTCAGTGCGCATTCCAAATTGTTGGCGTTCAACTGACGTAGCTTAAGGTGTCTTCTTTGACAATTAAGGTTTTTTTTTTTTTTTTAATTAAATTCCAAACACTGTTAATTTGAATAATATATAGGGGACTTATAGTTAGGGTCCAAAAGATTTATGAAATAGATCCCATAATTTTTCATGTTATATATATCCCAAAATTTTACAATATTAGGCACAGAAAGAACTGTTAATTTTATCGACATTGGGCTAAAGTTGTCTTCTTTGGAAATTTAAGTTTTTAAAATTGTTTATTCAATTTAAAATTCATTAATTAAAAACTGTGTTTGCTTCAATAAATATAAAAGGTTTGCGTGACTAACAATGTGGAAATTCATGTGGAAGTTGTTAAACATCGTGCAAAACATTTTGGGCTCAACACAAAAAGTTGATTTGTTTATATCTAAATTATTATCTAAGGGTTTAATGAAATATGTAGAATGATTATGTTAAAATTCCAAATCCACCTATTATTATCCTATTTTCAATTTTCGGCTTATGTAATTTAGTGTGAATTGTGTATCTTGACAATCAATAATTCAATTTTATCTAACTATTTCCCCTTATGTAAGTTAAATATATTCTAAACGCGACCCGATCGTATACCTAAATGTTATATTCTATTGATATCCATCTTTGTCCCAAGCTGATTGGGTACGTTGGATTTGATGTATTTCTAATAATTATTTGGAAAATGCTATAGGTGATTTATGCCTAGGTGATATCCATCTGCATAAAAACCATTTTTATGTACGATACTTTTAAATTTAGAGTTTTAGTATAAATCTTTGTCAAAAGAGTGTAAAATATTTAGGTGATTCATTTATTTGTAAAATGCTATATATACTTTATACTTGTAAATGCTTGAACCCTGACCTTGACATTTAGTCATGCTTTACATTTTTCAGAACATTTATTTAAAATAAGTTTAGGATCTAAGTACGTACCACTGAAACCATTGGTCTCGATATCTAGATATACAAGTATTGATAGGAGTGGTGGACCCCACTTTTCCATAAATAAACAAACTTTTGTTTGACTATCAAACCAGAGAAATTATTCCATTGGATGCAGTATCTTTCAT